GAAGATGTAACAGTTAATAGTGTCAACTGCAGCACCGGGATCAAGTGGATCATGATCAACGTGTCTGGATCTAGCAGAAGGCACTGATGCCTAGAGGAAGAATTTTAAGTAGGAGTGAAGTCAGAAAATGTGGTTTGAATACTGCCTGGTAAATAAGGAAGTGTAGACTGCTTTTTCAAAGTATCATGACTGAACAATGAGAGAGGTGACAGGTTATAAACAGCAAGGGGGATGGGGCAAAGCTGCACAATGCCCAAACAAGTTGACAAGGAAACAGCACATGCAGAACGTCACAATTACCTAACTTGCCACAGATGCCCCTATTCCTATGAATTCTCTACTCATGGCTGACTGAGTTTTCTCCAGATCATATACTTTGCAAACATGGACTTTTTTTTTTCATTATCACTCACATTTTGTCATTCTTGATGCTTTCTAGCAATATATTTAGAAGTGATTTTATTAATTTCTAAAATATCTCATCTCTTTCAAATGGTAGGAAAATAACAAACTCACCAACATTAAAAATACATTGTTTAAAAGCATTTTTTAAAGATTTAATAATTCCAAATTGCTAAATCTAACTATATTCCTTATTATTTTTTCAAAGATACTATGAAACTCCTTGTTCTTATTATCCTCTAAAATGTTGATGATTATCTTAACTTTCAAACTGATTAAACTGATCATTTACAACCTTACACCTTAAGGTTGAGGAGTTCCACTGCACACCTATTTACTATTTACTATAGTCTGAAATCATATCACACCAGCAAATATTTCCAAGGTATTGCATATCATATTAATAACAGAGATTGCTTATTTAAAAAGCTGACTTTCCTCAAATACAATGAAGATATGGAATTTAGGATATATATATATATATATGATATCCTTTAGAATATCATATATATATAGAGAGAGAGAGAGAAAGAGAGAGAGAGAGAGAATTTATATTTTATCTTTAATCTTAGTATTGGCCAGTTAGCTTAGGCTGACAGCTTTCGATCTCTTTTTCACCTCTGGGTAATAAAACAAACTGGCTCCTTTTTGTGCCTTCTAATGCAGAAGGTGATGATGAAATAATTAACTCTAAAACTGCTATTAAAATATTGCAGTAGAGAAAATTTTAGTCCCACATCCTTGTTTGTTTACTGTAACATGCCCCAAAAATAAAGTCCCCAGATTAACTGCAAGATATTACTACCATTTAGGAATGTTTGATGATATAGCAACTAGTTAAAGGTTAGTAAGGTAAAAAGAGATCATGTGAGCATTTGTTCCAGTGAATATAGGAATCTAATGCTTGATACACACTAGAGTATCTCTTTGGGGTGTTGGACACTTTTACAGCATAAGAGATAATCAAACCTGGTTCCTTTACAATCAGTTTGTTCCAAATGTCTCTAACCAGGCATAAGAGCAGGAGACAAATTGAAAGTGACTGAAATATAATCAACTACTTACTATTAAATAGAAGAAACTTAGAGACTCTGTCCTTACTTTAAAACCCTGGGTGATACTCCCACAGGCAGATGTGCATATGGGAAGAGAGCATAAGTCACTAGAACTACAGTCTACCACAGCACCCACCTATCAAGTTCCCTGTGAAAATTCAATTAATACTTGTACAACAAAACAATCAATGATTTTGTGAACACTGCTACTTTCAATAGATTCTCAACCAGATTAGGTACAGCCAATTTTGAATTCACAGTTTCTAAAACTATTACCAGATATTCTGTGAAGGGTACATCATCTTATATACAACTAAGCTAGCTTGGTGTAATGAAAAGTGTAATGACATTTGAAGCAGAATAGAAAAAGTCAGGTCCTACCCCAGGTCTCCACTTAACCTGTGTTAATGTAAGTGTCCTTCTTACACCCTTGTGAAACCGGTATGATGACTGCCTTTTTTTTTTTTTTTAAGATTTATTTATTTATTTATACAAGCACTGGGTACAGTCAGAAGCACGGGAGGGTGAAAGAATTCACCGGAGTCAGAGCAGGGAGCAGAGCAGGCAGAAGGACCAAAGTACACTGCTGAGGGGAGCAGCAGGTGGCAGGAGAGGTCTGCGCCCCATGTGGGACCTGGTCAGCTTCGCAACCCAGTGGTCAACCGCTACGCCACTGGGGAGGCCCAAATGACTGCCTTTTCTTATCACGAGTGTGTGTCAGATGATTCTGAATCAAAGCCAGTTAGGATTAGTAGTTTCATCAGAAATGAGTCAAAATGAAAAAAAAAAAAATGAGGAAGTTAAGGTTAAAAGACATTAATAACTTGTTTGAAATGAAAATACAGATAGTCGGGATACTGATTTAAGAGTTATTCAGGGCAATTAAAGACAATATTGTGGAGCAACACATTTGTGGCACAATTACATTAAACAGAAAAACTTTTTTAAGGAAGTAAGTATTTTCAGGTCTCCCTGGTGGTGCAAGGGGTTAAGCACAGCACTGTGAAGCTATCTGAAACCTCTGCAGCACTGATTCGATACCCACTGGCTAGAGAGCTGCCCACATGGCACATTAGACCTCTCCTGTCTCGCCCACTGCTCCCCTCAGCAGTGTATTTCAATCAATCTGCCTGTTCTGCTCCCCACTCTGTCTCTGGTGAATCCTCTCACTCCTTGCACCTCTGGTCTAATTCTTGTATCAATCAATAAATAAATCTTTAAAAAAAAGTGAGTATTTTCAAGTAATGGCAGTGATTAATTATTAATGGGAAACATCTCTCTTATTTAGAGACCCCAGAAAACATTTAATCAAATATCCAATTTTCATAGATGAGAACCTGAAATTAAAGTAAACGTGGATAAAAAATGAAGTCTCGGGCCTCCCCTGGTGGCACAGTGGTTGAGCACTGGGCTGCAAAGCTGCCCGCAGCCTCTGCAGCAACAGTTCGATCCCCAGCCACCGGTGAGGGTCCCACATGGCGCGCAGACATCTCCTGCTGCACCCGCTGCTCCCCTCGGCAGTGTATTTCATCGTTCTGCCTGTTCTGTTTCCTGCTCTGGCTCTGGTATATTCTCTCACACTCCCACCCTTCTGACTATGCCCAGTGCTTATATAAATAAATAAATAAATCTTAAAAAAAAAATGAAGTCTCCTTTTTCTATGAAAAAATAAAATCGCATAAGTAAAAAGACTTTATAAATGATGAAGGAATAAAGAACTATAAATTGTAAGACATTAAAAGTTGAAATAGATGATAATTGTGGATAGGCTTTGGGAGCTGCTGAATGTAGTAACTGTTTTTGGAACTGTGTGACTTGATCACACATGTGAATGTATATTTGTATAGTGGTGGTTTTGGCTGCAGGGGAATGGAGACATGGAACAGAAGTATTTTCTGCCTATTTCTGAGGAACAGAGTTTCATCGTAGTTAGGGGACTAGGTAGCATTCTGAATTTGCAAAGGACTTTTTAGTGAAATTCATTGTGAGATTCAGAGTAAGAGATGTCTAAGTATGACACTGAGAAATGCACTTTGAGCATAGTATTATTGTCTTAGCAGTGCACAGGAATTGGTGTAATCTAAGACAGTCAGATTATATTAAACATCAGCAGTTATGGCACCCTAAATTAAAGAAACCAATAAAGTTGATAACTTAGGCTCATTTCTCAAACTACTTTTGACAGCACATTTTACCTCTGCACTGTTACCAAATTAATATTGCTAAATCAGAAATTTAATGGTGCAGCTTCATTTTCAAAATGCTTAGTGTCCTTCCTATATACATATGAAATTAACTCTTTGGGCTTCTATCTGATGTTTTTGCTCCAAAATACTGCCCAAGGAGAGTCAGTATAACAGAATTCTTGGGTGAGAATTATATATAAGTAGGGTCTACCCTGACTTCACCACTTACTGGCTGCACTGAGCAAATTACACCTCATACACTTGGCCAAGTTCCATAGTCAGTCCAAGTATCTCGCTAACCTAAGCAACACAGGTCAGATCAGTCTCTACATCTCTACATAGTGCTTGGCCCAGACATGTTAAGGATGATCATTAGGGATGATGATTAGAAGTGATGAGAACAATGATCACAAAACGGACACCATAAATGTAGTCTGTGTTTTTTTCTTTTTTTTTTTTCTTTTTTTTTTTTGCTTATTATGCACATGGTTTTCAGTGGAAGGGGATGTCATTAATTTCTACTTTTTACATCTCACATAGCTTTAAAACACAATTTAAATCCTACCTACTAGCACAATACCTCACAATAAAACTTCTCTGTCATGATAATGTTGAATAAGAAAAACTGATATTAGAGGGCCTCTTTTCTTGGGAAAAAAATACAAGTTGATCTTGCCCATCCCATTTAAAATTATACTTAATATATCAAAAATAAAATACAACATCATTGTGCCTGATAATTTATTAATTATTTAAAAAAATAAAATTATACTTAATAATTGCACTTATGCCTTTTTTTCTAATAAAACTGGAATAATTAAAAGTGTAAAATAGTATGGAGTGATTTGTTTGTGTGTAAGAGATATATACAGTATGTATTAAAATATTGTTCCCAAGCTCTTCAGACAGGCTGTTAACTCATTCTATATCCATTTAAAATTCTAGAAACTTGGCCTTCTGGGGGAATCAGTTTTCCCCTCAAGCAATGTTTTCCCACACATGGGAACAAAAATAATTAGAGGAAGTTCTGCCCAGAGAGAAGGGGAAATAAATTGAAGTGTCCAATTTCTGTCCACTGGTAGAACTAAGTGACTATTCCATTTTAAAATTGTCAAAGAAAATAAAAAGGTTTTATTCTGTTATACTTAATTCTTATTTATAGGTATGTACTAAGAATGTTATATTATCACATTTCATGTGTCATGTTATATTATCACATTTCATGTGTCATTTTAAAACTTGCCTATTACTCACATGATACAATTGAATCTCACAACATAACCTCTTTCCAGATCATCTGATTTGATATGAAGACAATTTACTTCCCTTTAGATGCCTACATGTATATGAGACTTACAGTGCCAAGGTCAATGATGAAGCAGTCACCCTTGTTGAAACTGTCCCAGCTTAAGGGAACTTCTGTGGCCCTGACCACTCTCCTCCCCTTCACATGCAGGAGCCGCTGGGCAGTCAGGTCATTTGTGAGAACATGATTTAGTCCAGATGCCACACCTCCAGCCTGATCAGTGAAAAGAAAACAGAAAATCAAACAAAGTGAATGAGGTGTCTGAGTAGACACAGCAAAGTATAAAATGATAAGTATTTTTGTCAAAACTGTTTGTCAGGCCAAAATAAAATAGTCACCTAAGTAAGTGTCTGTGAAAAATTAAATACGCAGGGCCTCCCTGGTGGCACAAGGGTTAAGATGCAACCTATGAAGCTCTCCGCAGCCACTGCAGCATGAGTTCGATCCCCGGTCAGGGATTGAACCCACATGCGCAGCAGACCTCACCTGACTCGCCCGCTGCTTCCCTCAGCACAGTACTTTAGTTAATCTGTCTGTTCTGTTCCCCACTCTGTCTCTGGCGAATCCTCTCACCCCCTGTACCTCTGGCCTGTACCCCAGTTCTTGTATGCATAAATAAATAAATCTTTTAAAAAATTAAACATGCAGAAGAAATTCTTTGGAAAATTAATAGATTTTGTTTTGTTTTTAGGCTCTTTGTCCTTCCTGTTTTAACCACTCAATTTTATATTGCTACAGAGAACCTGCAATGGATAAAACCTGCTCCATTAATAAACAGAAGTTGTAACACTTGTCCTTTGGAAACTAATGATTTTCAATCATTGAGGGGAAAGGCAGACAATGTTTGTAAGGAGGAAAGCAACAAGTGGCTGGAGGTGAGTTAGAGGTAACAAGAATATATAATGAGCACCCAGAAACTAGGCACCCCAAAATTCCCATCATCAAAGTTCTGGACCGAGATGGGGAATTGAGTGCTAGCCGGGCATGGGGTGACTCCTATTTACGGTTCCTATTTTTACATTATTACTCCCCAAAATCTTAAAGGACTAGTGATAATAGTCCTCTATGAAACCTCCTATCCCCTAAAAAACCTTAGAGAAAAAAAAAAAATTCAAGTCAATTAAGTGCCATGGGAAGATGGTCACAATTTTTCTAGCTGAATCTTTACATTATATATGATAACTAAATCTGATAGTCATTTGACCATTTATTTATGTTGAAAGCATCATGGTTTAGTGATTACCAGGTTAGACACTGGAGTCAGATCATCACATTGTCAGATACCAGCTCTTAGATCTTGGCAAATTACAGAGTCTCTCTGGGCTCCTGTCTACTTATCTTAATAAAGTGATAATGACAGGTGCCACACCATTACCATCGGGCTGTTGTTTGGATTAGATGTGATAATATAACATTCTTAGTACATACCTATAAATAAGAATTAAGTATAACAGAATAGACTTTGCTATCTAATGGTAAATTATCTTTGCTTCCACCTTTCCTACCAAATACTGTTTCAACCGCACACATTGCCATCTGTTCAATGCCACTGATGATAATGAATTGTTTTTGCTAGATAAATTTGACCTCCATTTGTAACTTCTTTTGTCTAAAAATGACATCTCTGGTAGTTTTAATGTTGCTAATGAAGATACAATCATACAAGTATAAAATTACTTTTATCAAGTTACTTTCAGTATGTTCAAACATATGTTCAAATATGTTTCTAGAAGTCTGATTTTTCTGCTGATGCTGGCAGGATTAATAATAAGATAAATCCTTACTGATTGCATTTGTACTATAAATGTATTTCATTATTCAGTTGAATCTTTATAACACACGCATGAAGAAGTTGTTATTATCCCCATTGTATATGTGAGGAAATTGAGCTCATAAGGAGCTTGAAATGTGGAAATGGAAAGCTCATGTCCCTGTTTTGAGGTAAATAAGTCATATATGATAAAAACAGGTTCAGAACCAGGATGAAAGCTAAGTATATACTTTGAGTAACTACAAAACCTGGCTTATTTAAAAGGTTGGGTTTAGTAACACAAAGGAAATTTCAGGATCATTTGACATAAACTGTAGGAATCCAAGTGAATCAAATAAAATAAGAGCCAACAGTTTCATATTTAGGGTGTTTTATAGCCCAGGGTGGAAAAAAAATGACTTCAAGAAAGATAAACAAAACTTGTGTTTTATCCTGATCTCAATGTTATTAGAGAATATTCAACTAAAGGTCTGATCAGGTAATATAGAAATAAACCTAGCAGCATAATAAGCTACCTTTGTATAATTCAGAAATCTAGTTGAGCTCTGAGACTTCAGGTATTCATTAGGTTAATAAACTAGGGGTGGAATGATGGGGTCTGCAGAAAACCTATTGGGGCATATTTGATTTTGAAAAGGATTGCTCTGTAATATGTGTCTAGAAAGGGCATTTTTCACATTTTAACTAAACATTCTGGGGGTAAGGGGATTGCTGAAGGATGGCCAGTTCCAGAAAAAAAAGCTGTCCTTCAAAGTTATAGAACTATTTAATTATCATTTTTTAATTTGCAGAGATGAAGGCATTTGATGATCAGTGTTTCAGGCCAATACACATAACCTATATGTGTATGTGTGTGGGGAGAATACATGTATATATGAGTTTGTGAGACTGAAACACTTATATGTTCAGTTCAGGAGTTTATTTGTATTATTTCTAAGACCAAACCATATTATTCCTATAACTGAAGTTGTGGTTGTTACAAACATTGTAGCATGATATTATAGAACAACTGAGATTCTATCTTGGGTTGTTCACAGCAAATTCAAATATTTTCTAGAATAGTAAAGTTGAAAACTGTTAATAGCAAAGGTAATAATATTTAATATTGAAGTAACTTTACAATATATTAAAGAACTTTCTTTTGAATATGTAACTGAAAGCTCTTAACTTTACTAAAAGTTAACTGTTATGAAATCAAGTCATAATATTTTACATATTACATGAGACATTCCACAAATATTTACAGAGCAACTACTATGTGTCTAGCAGACACTGGGGATATATCAGTGAAAAAAATATGACCAAAGCAAGAACAAAACAATCCTGCTCTCAATGAACTTTCACTTAATGAAAATAAGAGGTGTGGATGGATAAAGAAGAAAAGTAGGTGATAATGGAAACTTTGAGACAGCTGCTTACCTTATATTTTAAGCCTCCTTTGAAATAGCCAACAAAATCAGTAGACTCGTAGCCTTGAAGTTCTCTGTTCTGTACTGGCTTGCCACCCAAATAGTCATCCATTTGAACAGTAAAGATGGCAGCCGCTGTGCTTTCATCCTGAGTGCACTCCTTTCCTGAAATAGCAAATGATACACCTCACTTACCAAGCAAAGAAAAAGGATTAAGAAAGAATTTCTGATATGAAAAAAAGATACATTTTCCTTTAATTCTATTTCTGTATATCCAATAAACTTCAACACTATCTTTTAGCAAAAATGGTATACTATAAAATATTTTGCTAATAACCATAGGAATTTTGTTCTTACTTTTTAATTATTTCAAAATATTTTGAAATTTTTAATTATTTCAAAATATTACAATACCACTGTCTGAATAGACACAATTATATATTCCAGCAGGATACAACAGATAAGCATTCATTTTGTCCTTAATAGGATCAGGCTACAAAAACACTTCATAATGGTTTTAGTCTTATTAGTAACAATCAGTAGGCTTCCAAAATGCCAGTATGCCAATATTCATAAGGAGTACTAACATCATAAGACACAGTTAAACAACTTCAGGAAAGCAAATGGGTTTTAAAATGGGAAAAATAATGTAACCGATCTTATCCCTATTTTGAGTCCCAGTGACCCCACTTTAAAATCTCACTGGTATGAAACAATATTCTCTGAAGGAAAGAGAAACAAAAGGATCTAGCATGCTAATATATTTACTGAATGTTAACGTGTCATTTGTTTCAGAAACTGAATAAACATTTAACTTTCCTAATCCTAATACAGGTCCCATTGGTGTTGCATCATTGAGGTCAAAATAACAAATCTTCAGTAGACAAGATGATCAGACTCAGGACAGTTCTGAGGGGAACTCAAATTTCTATAAAAGACACCTCATAACCCATATGTATCTGACCTATGTGAAAATAATAAAGGATTCCAGAAAAAATATCTAATGTTTATGCCTTTATTACCCCCTTGCTATGAGCTAGACACTGTGCTAGTGTTTTATATGGATGATCTCATTGTTCAAGAAACTTCGTGACTCTGAAACTAATTCCCAACATGTTCCATGTGAGGAAACTGTGGTTTAGAGAAGCTGAGTAATATCCTAAATGTCACAGAGTTGACCTTTGGGAAAACAGGCCCCAGAGGCATCTTTTAGTGATACTAAAGCACAGACTCTTAGAAAACTACAACAGTAGTAGATTTCCCTCCCTCCCTCTCTCCCTCCCTCCCCCCACCTCTCTCTCTCCTCTCATTAGCAGTAAAATTTTGTGTTATTTCCCTTTGTAGATAATTTAGATAGATATAAAGGTTTAAAAGCTGGAATTATATAATAGTTTACTTGAACAGCTCCCATTGAGAGTATTCACCAAAATTGAAGAAAGTAAACCAGTGAGTTACATTAAAGAGCCACATTTCTTTACCATTTTTTCCTTATCCTCAAAGGGGACCTGTGTAGCAAGTTTCATCTCAGTAAAAACACTCAGTGACTTAACAATTATTTGACATGATTTGGTATTATATCAACTTGTGACCCTGTTGTGGTCAAAGGAAGTATTTAACACACATAGAAAACACGCATGCAATTTTACAGTCCAAAGGAACCCTAGTGGCATTTTTCTGCCCACTTCCTCATCCAATAAGAATATTCATGATGTAAAAAATACATAAAATATAAAAAAGAACAATGATGTAAAATACATATAAATAAATAAATTTTTAAAAATTAAAAAAAGAAAGAATATTTATAAAGGAATAAATGTAGATTCTGGACAGAGATGCTTTAATTGAGAAGCAAATCAAGATTAACATGGAATATGTTAAGGATGGTGTATTTGACATAAACATTCTTACTGAGTATAAACTGAAACCAAAATCCCCATAAGTAGACATAAACAGATAATAAATGCTATTAATGCAATTAAATGCAATTAATAAAGGAACTGCAAGTAAATGAATTGAATTACATTGTCATTTGTTGCTGCTTTTATAATGTGTTACGCCAGGGAACATCAGCTGAATAAGCTAGAGTTCTTGCACTGCAGAGAATGAAGGGTATAAATAAAGTCAACACCAGCCTTTGAATGTGAAAATTAGAATCAAATTAGTTGTATTATGATGGAATTCTAGCAAGAGTTTAGAACCTTATGAACTTCTATGTGAATTGTGCTTATGACTCTATTTATTTTCCCTGTGTTGGTTTTATTGATGTTTTTATGTTATGTCATGTTACGTTATGGGCTATTATTTTTGTTTCACTTGTGTATGTGTCACAAATTTCATAAAACTCTTTTGAGAATGTGATGACACATAACACAGGAAAAGTGATAATTATATATATATATAATATAGATTATAGATTATTTAACTATCCATGTATATTTGCGTATCTAGTTCTATACAGTGTTACCACATATAAATTTATATATCTGTCATCACCGTGAAGAAATTGCATAGTTCCAGATATTCAACAACCACAAGAAAAAATTGATCAACATCCTATATCACCAGGGAAATGCAAATAAAAACCGCAATGAGATACCATCTCAAATTTGTTTGAATGGTCCATATCAAAAGGAACAAAAACAAAAGTGTTGATGAGGATATGGAGAAAAACATACACTGTGGTGAGAATAAAGACTCTTCCAGCCCCTATGGAAAACAGTGTGGATGTTTCTCAAAATATTAAAAGTAGATCTACCATATGATGAAGAAATTTCACCCCTAAATATCTACCCAAAGAATGCAAAATCACTAATTTGAAGGAATATAAGCACACCTATTTTCCTTGTAGCATTATTTACCATAGTCAAGTTATGGAAACAACCTGATTGCCCAAAGACAGATGGGTTGGATTAGAAAAATGTGGTATATACACACAATGGAATATTACTCGGTGAGTAAAAAAGATAAATTCTTGCCTTTTGTGATAACATAGGAGAAACTGGAAGGGATAATGCTAGATAAAATAAGTCAGAAGAAGAAAGACAAAGACCAGATAATTTCATATATATGTGGAATATAGAGAAGCAAAACAAAGGGTCAGATAAACTTAAATCAGTAACAAGCCCTACAAATCTGACTATAGACTTAAGGCACCAGAGTGGGAGGAAGAGAGGGAAAAGCAAAGTTTGGAGGGGACATAGTGGACTATGGTGAGGACTATGAGTGCCTTGGTGGTGGGTGTGGTATGGTAACATACACCTGAAGGTGTGGGGTCTTATACCTTTAAATCATATACAGTGTTGTAAATCAATGTTACCACAATAAAAAAAAATGTCACCACAATAAAAAATTAAAAAAATATATATAAATAATTTCTCTGGTGGCAAACAAAATTTTTTTTCCATCCCCAAAATACCCCTTACATTGTCCTTATAAAAGGCAAGAATTTATCTCCCTGGCAGCATCAACCCTCCCCACTCCATTTCTAAACATTAGTACCAACAAATCTAAAAGCTCATCATTTCAAAAATGTTGTATAAATGGAATAATATAGGATGGGCATTTTTGGCATTTTTTTCCACTCAGCCTAATTCCCTGGGATTCATCCATGTTGTGTATGTGTCAATAGTTTGGTCTTTTTATTGCTGAACAGCACCCCTTGGTATAGATGTGTCACAATTTGTTTACCAGCTATCTGTTGATAAATTTTTTGGATATTCAATCAAAGCTACAATGACATTCATGGATAGGTTTTTGCATGCACATAAATTTTTATTACTGTGGAATAAATGCCCAAGAATGCAATTACTGCATCATATGGCAGCCACATATTTAGTTTTGTGAGAAACTGCCAAACTTTCTTTGGCAGAGTGGATTTACCATTTTACATTCCTCCCTGCTCCCTGCACCCATTCCCCAAGCTAAGCAATGCATAAAAGATCCAGTTTCTCAGCATCCTCTCCAGGCCTTTGTTTAATTTTCTTATATTGTATATTGCACATTCTAATCCAATTCTTTGGGTTCCAGTGCTTTGCACAGGGACCAGCACAGACTGATGATACCATAAATGTTTGTGGCTTTTAAATATACTTATGTAAAGCTTAAACATGCCAAGGAGAAATGTGAGGATGGGTGTCTGAAGCATATGTCATGTGACAGAGAGGAGCTTTGTCATCTAGTTCTGCTCTGAGACTGATGCAGTAAGTTACTGGAAGCAAAAGGAGGATGCATTTAAATTGCTAAAACTGCAAAAAAAAAAAAAAAACTTTTAAGTTATTGCAACAAATTCTTACTTTATAAAGTAAATTTAAAAAATAAAATGAAATAATCTGAGACATGCAAGGATATTATGGGAAGACACTGAGCAAAAGATCTGGAATGGGTGACTCTTCCTCTAGTCTTTGCACATCTTCTTATCTCCTCTTTCTTCTTCTTACTTGGTCTGTATCTTCATTTCTAGGCCACATACTTCTTCCATCCCAGTCTAATTTTAATTTCAGACTCTTTCATCTTCCTGCCAACTGCTTTCTTTTAGGAAAACTTGTTGTTGTTTTTCCATGAACTTTGAGTTCTCTCTTAAAACTTTCTCTCACTCTGTCCTCCTCATTCATTCTCATGAATTCATCTGAATTTAAGTCTAGAGGATATTTTGAATGAAATCCCCCTTATTATTTAGGGAACTGAAATAGGAAGAACTGGTAAACAATTCTATCTATAGGTCCTGTAGATTAATTTACTCTAAACTTTTCCAAGTTCTCCCTGATTTTCTCCGACACAATCATTCCCAATTACCCTCATTTCTCTTTTTATTCTCTTTTATTCTCAAGGTTCTTCTGCTTCCTCACAACCTATATACTTCAAGTTCCTTCACAATGCTTGTCACATTTTACTTGTCTTATTACACCTTTGAGATCATAAACTTTCAGGAAAGGTTCATAAATGATTCATATGCAAAAAAAGCTGTGCACAGTGTTGTGTGCATTGAATACTGAACGAATTAGCTTATTATAACATGTTACTAACTTTATATCTAGCAGATCTTTAAGATCATAAAATGTTTCTGCCCAAAGCATTTTTTAAAATCGGTAAGCATGAAATAAATAATTAAAAGTTAACTTGATTCTGTAAATCCTACAAAACATAGTTTTTCTGAAACTTAATTGGACAAGAAATGGTGGAATTTAAAAATTGAGTTCAAAACCCTCTTGCAGCCTTCTGATAAATTCAAACTGAACTGTTGTTGATGAAAGATATAAAGTTCTTTCACATTTTAATTCACCAAAAATGACAAATATGGCATTTCAGACATTGTCTTCATTTGAAAACTATATTCTGGATAGAAAGACCAAAGTGATGACATTGCCATCCCAGCTGGCAGATTTTAAGGTTCCAGTGTTTTCCTGGTATAAAAGATACATAGATCACTGTCTATTTTAATAGGAAGAGTGACATTACACTGGGAAACTAAAATGTGTTTGGAACTCAGCTTCGGCTTCTTCAGCAAGAACATAATTTTAATATTGACTACCACAAAACATTCCTCACCCTCTTACATATTTCTTATTTCAAAAGTCTGCTCTAGGTGTTTGCTAATACTGAGAACATAACTTCTCAATGTTTTCTTCACTTTGTTTCTTAGAATCCTCATATATTAGAAACAAACAAAAAAAAAATGGCATCCAGGGACTTCAAAATATGCATGTGTGTGGTTTCATGTTTTCCCCCTAAGGTCAGAAATAAAGCTAAAAATAAAGAAACACATCCAGGCAAGGTAATTTTAAAAGAAGGCAATTAAGCTCAAATAATCGACATTTTGTTAGCTGGGTGTGCCCAGTGGCGCAGAAGCTCCGAGCAGAGGTTGGACGTTCAGGATGTTTACAAGTAAAAGTAGAAGGTGGAAAAAGTAGAACACACAAGACCTACTGTCTGAAGACCTGGCGTGAGTGCAGCCCAAAATAATTACTCTTGCTGAAGGATCCTTTAGTTCCACACTGTGTCCTTGTTCAAATAAATAAATATTTTTAAAATTATTGTTTTATTTAAAAATATTGATATAATAAAGCAGCTCACCTATTTAAATAAACATGTCATACAAAGCTATTTATGTGAATAATAAATTTTTTCTGGTTCCATCCTAAAAGTCTGGAATTTCTGTTCACCGAACCCACCAGCAGCTGAGCAGCATCGTGCAGGCAAGACGCTGCTTTAAAGTGGCCCAGAACACTAATCGCCGCAATTAGTGGATAAATGCAAGCTGGTGTGCAAGAGCCAAAAATTAAAAAAAAAAAAAAATTTAAAGAACTTCTCGCCAGCTGCGTCGGATGCCCACAAACTCGTTTGACTTCATCTCTTTGGAACAGGGAAACCAGGACTGAACTTGTCTGAAGGTGAGCTGGATTTGGCCAGCGCCAGAGAGCGCTCAGCAGCAGTCCAGGCGGGAGTGGGGTTTGGAGACATTCAGGTAAAAGGGGAAGAAGGAAGAGAAACCAGCCCCAAACCTCGGGGGCTGGACACAACAAAGGTCAAAGCCCGGTGTTTGCAGTCGGGTTTGCCAGAGCTGACTGACAAGGAGAGAAGGTGGTGCAAGGGGCAGTACGCCCGGGGCACAACCAGGTAGACCGTATCCCACGCGCACCTGTGTGCCCCCACACTCCCAAGCCTGCAAATCTCAGCTCCCCACGATCCTGCCCCGCCCCGACCTAGACGTGCCCGGGTCCCGCTAGCTGCGGTCCCTTACCGAGCCAGTAGTGCAGGCGGTAGCTGAAACCCCGGCTCCCCTTGGTCGTGTGCAGCACCAGGTAGGCGTCCCCGACGTAGAAGTCGCCGAAAACACTCTGCGGCACAGGCACCAACTCCAGTTTCTCGATCCTCCAAACCTGCAGCCCCGCCTGCTTGCCGGCGCGGGCGAACTCCGGGTGGTACAGCCCCTGCGCCATGGCTCCTGTGCGCGATGCAATAGGGGGCGCTGGCCCTCGCCGACCTGAGAGTGGCTGCAGCAAGACTGACTGCAGGAACCCGGTTCTCCTCGACTAGCGACTTTATAGAGTTCAACCTGCGGGGAGGTGGGGCCGGGAAACGGGAGGGACTAAACACCCGGTTGGGTGCCGCTCGCGAGGTGAGCTCTTCCCAAGCCTCCTGCCCCGCCTAGTAACTAGCGCTACCGCCTTTCTTCCCAGCTAGGGAATTCTCTGAAATCTTGAGATTGGGAGGGGACTTAAATTCCTGGAAATACCTCCTTCAAGGAAGGGCATTTTTTTGCTGGCACAATTGGAGACATTAACAATTAAAATTTTGGTTGACGCATTTCAGTAACAATCACCCTAATCATCAACTCCATCATTTCAATGGCCAGTCTTTCCTTCCTTGAAGACTTTAATTTCTGTCTTGAGCTTCTCCGTTTGAAAATGCTATGAAAAACAGCATGTCAAATTAAAAGGATGGGAAGGGTGAGAACTTGGAAGGCTGTTGCTCCTTCCTGGCAGCCTGGTTTCTGTAAATGTCCAGATTTACATGTGTTCAAATTCGTAGGCTTTAAAACTTTGTTTTTTGCTAATACAATGTTGCAAACAACATTTTGAACACATTGCACTAAGCACAGGCATGATTATCATTGTGAAATAAATTCCTAGAAGTAAAATTATTAGGTTGGTTGAAAGGAATTAAATGGTTTTTATGATGATTATTAATTATGAAACTAGTCACTATCATTTATTGTGCTTCTTCAGTGATGAGCTATGGCACAGATTGCCTTGATTTAATTCCAGGCGCCGTCTCTTAGTTGTGAGGCTTTTGGCAACTTTTCTATGACACCAAGCCTTAGTTTCCTCATCTATAAAATGGAAAATCCATGGTATTCGCTGAAAAGAATATTATTTGGATTAAATGAGATGATTCAAGATAAATATTTATATGTTATATAGAAAATGCCCCACAATTATGAGCTATTATTATGCAGTGGTGAGCTTCCTTTCAAAGCTCCTGTGCATCCCTTCACCATCCTCCAGCATCTGCCACACTCCCTTAAGCCCACCTGCAGGAACTAAAACAACCAGCCTTCACTCTGGGTTTGGTTAGAAACCAGAGGGAGAAAAGAGGTCAGAAAATTCGTTTCCTTGGTGTCCTCCACGAAATAGCACTGTACCTTCAAGACTCTATGTGGCTCTATGTGACTTCTCTTCTTTTGGGTCCTCTCACTTGTATCCCTTTTGTTTTCTATCTTCACTTATATATAGTCCATTTTTAAATATACTGGGAATTTTCCTGTTTGTTATCTGTTATAGGTTGAAATCCTGATTGATAAATACTAGCTACATCCTCCTGTTTTACTCCTAACTCAAAAAATTAAATGTAGATATAAGGCTTATTTTATAGATGAAGAAACAGGCTTTGATCTTGCCAAAAATCACTCAGCAGGTGAGTATCAAAGAGCAATTCAAGCTCACCATGTCTAATGTGAAAGCTCAAATTCATTATAAAATCTTAGGGGAAAAAAAACCACCAAAATCTTACTCTTTGAGGGCCTCCCTGATGGTGCAAGGGGTTAAGCACAGCACTATGAAGCAATCCACAGCCTCTGCAGCACGAGTTTGATCCCTGGTGGGCCAGGGAGCAACCCACATGGTGCAGTGGACCTCTCCTGGCTCACCTGCTGCTCCCCTCAGCAGTGTACTTTGGTCAATCTGTCTGTTCTGTTCCCCACTCTGTCTCTGGTGAATTCTCTCACTCCCCGCATCTCTGGCCTGTACCCCAGCTCTTGTATGCATAAATAAATAAATAAAAAAAATCTTTAAAAAAAGAAATTTGCTCTTTGAGTCCCAATTATCTCGTCACTGTTTGTTCTCTTAAGTATACTTTTCACTTTCATATTCTTCCAATATGTCCCTAGAGAAGTTCCAGAGCCAGTGTGTCCCATGCAGCACCAAGAATTTAATTTTAATGCTGTCACTGAGAAACAGATCTTGGTTTTCTTACCTGTAAAATAGAAGTCATTTTTTTTCCCTCTTTCTCCAGGAAATGTATATGAGATCTGGAGGAAACTTAAAAACCAGAGGTATCTTTTAAATTCAGCTTTATTTTTTTTAATATTTTATTTTATATAATTCTTACATCATTTTTCATTTTTGCACAAAGTATGCATTTTCATTTTGGTTACAGTCCCCATACAATTGCACCCCCCCCTTATTTTGACCCTAGTCCTTCCTCTCCCTGCCCCTCATCCTCTCCCCCCCATAGTGTGTCTCTGGTTTATAGTTGCTTGTTGATTTTGATTTTTACTGTGTATTAATTAGTCTTTTCCCTGGTCCCTTATTTAGGTTTTCTAAATTCCTGCTATGAGTGAGACCATCCGGTATTTTTCTTTTTCTTTCTGACTTATTTCGAATTCAGCTTTAGTTTTAATGACAATTCCTTTCCTTTTAGTGAAGAAATAAAAATAAATGGGAATAATCCATTGAAGTGAAGAAATAAAAAGAACTTTAGTAGAGATACATGAAATTTTCCTTTTACTTAGCTAGAACTAGAATGAGGTGAGACAATGAGACATGTGCTTTGGATGTAAAACTTAACAGAACAACAAAAAAACTCAGGAATAAAGATTGAGGTGCTATGTCAAAAAATACAAAAAACATGATGAAAAATAAGAAAACTTGAATGAAAGGCAGAATTGTTAATCATGCAGTGCAGGTACTTATTGGTGGCTGAGGGCAAAGAAGATTTATCTTCCTTTACTTAACACTTTGATATTTGTTTCATCTTTCTTTGCATTGCTTGATATTTTAAAAAGTATTACATTAAATATTATTTATCTTTATTACTATGCTGCACTGTGTTTTATGTGATTTTATTTGCCGTCCCCCTTAAATTTGGTGCCTAAGGTAAATGTCTCACTCCATCACACTACTTCTGTCCTAAGGACCGCCAGAATCAACCATGTAACTTCCTGCTAGATACAGCTACCTAATTGATCCTTTCAAGGTCAAATTCATCACATTCAAAACAATCTCATCATTTCCTCCAAACATACTTCCATTATTTCCAATTCAGCATGATCTAATTTTGCCTCAACACTCTCATTCTCTAATTGGGGTGTCCAAATGTTTCTCAAGCCCATACCAGAGAGATAGGTGATGTCAATGAACAAATGAAAGAGCAGAAAATAACTCAACCAGAAGAAGCAAAGCAACTGGAATTCTTTAGCTTGTTTGCAGTTTAGGTTATACATTAATAAATACTTTGCTCTGAGTCATACTCTACTTAACATTTTACTTTTCAGGAACCACAAACACATTCCTGGTCTCTAATAAGTTTCTTTTTTTTTTTTTTTTAATAGAGGCATGTTTTATTTATTTGTTTGTTTTGTTTATACAAGCACTGGGCACAGTCAGAAGTGCGGGAGGGTGAGAGAATTCACCAGAGCCAGAGCCCGGAGCAGAGCAGGCAGAAAGACCGAAGCACTCCGCTGAGGGGAGCAGCGGGCGGCAGAGGAGAGGTCTGCGGGCCATGTGGTACCCTCCTCCGGTGGCCGGGGAGCAGCCAGGGTTCGAACCGGGCCGCAGAGGCCGCGGGCAGCTTCGCAACCCAGCGCTCAACCGCTGCGCCACCACGGAGGCCCTCTAATAAGTTTCTAATAAATACATTTTTGCCCCTTTATGTTCTTCATATTATTAATCTACTTCCACAGCTGTTGAATTTTTTTTTTTTTTAAGATTTATTTATTTGTTTATGCAAGCAATGGGTACAGTCGGAAGCACTGGAGGGTGAGAGAATCCACCAGAGCCAGAGAGGGGAGCAGAACAGGCAGACTGATGAAGTACACTGCTGAGGGGAGCAGCGGGCAGCAGGAGAGGTCTGCGCGCCATGTGGGACCCTCCCTGGCAGCCGGGGATCGAGCTGGTGCTGCAGAGGCTGAGGACAGCTTCGCAACCCAAGGCTCAACCGCTGCACCACCAGGGAGGCCCCACAGCTGTTGAAGTTTTAACAGCTCTTTAAGGTTTAACTAAACAAACATATTTCATCACCATCTATTCCCCTGACTCCACTGAATTTAAGTATTCTCTAAAGAGTGTTCTTTTCTCCTTTATGGATGTATTTATCACACTCTGAAGAGCCCTTTCTCTCTTGAGATTGCAGGCTCACCCAAAGACTTATGTCTCACAATTTTATTTCCTGGTATTTGTTAAATAGTGTAGTTAAATAGCTGGTTTTAGATTAAATTATATTTTTAGAAGTCAATTTACCAATTCTCTCTCAATCCAGTAAGAAAAAGCCAAAGCGATTAAGTCTTTTACCAACAGTCACAAGGTTTGAGTTGAAGGACCTTGTGGTTGAATTCAAGGTAGGTGTTCTTTTAGATTGTTAATGCCCAAGGGGAAATGTTGCATACTTTAATCCTTAAAATAAATAACAGTGTTAAATAACTTAATTGATTCATTGTGCAATTTACTAGCATGGGCTGGGAAACAGAAAACAACCTGTCTGGGTATCATTTAATAAGGTTAAAAACTAAGCTCCCACCCCTTGCCCAGGAGGAAGGTTTGGTAGACTTGAATAAAGGATGAAGTTGCTATTGGAACTAAACCATAGGCTGCTAGCTTTGACCATGGATGCACAAGCTTGACCAGGACACATTTTGTGTCAAAGGTCAAAGGCCCCAAAAGGACTCCCCCCGTCATGAAAAGCCCATGAAAACAGATTATAAAAGGGAGGCCCAGACCTCACCTCTCTCACCCACTGCTTCTATTAGCAGTGCATTTCAATAAATCCACCTTTTCTGTTCTCTATGTCTGGTGAATTCTTGCGGCCCCACACCTACAGCCTAATTCTGATATTTCTCTCCACTACACAACCCAGTTGGTTTTAATTGATCTTCATTATCCAAGTCATAAAATCTCTTAGCTGAGAGGCATTTTATTTCGATCTCTATATCATGGGCACAGAATTGTTGAAACTAAATATATGCAAAATACAGCGAGCGCACTTTTTTCCCAGGAAAGTAAAACACTTCAAGTGT